GCATAAACAGGAAAATGATCAGATGGAAAAAATCCATCTTTATCATGATACTCATCAACTTTTGTTTCACCTTCAACACGATATACACTATTTGATGAAATCCACACAAAATCTATTTTCGGACCATAACCAGCTTTTCGAAAACCATTAAACGTTGATGTTACACCATGTTGATATGTATCAATAAAACCAGCTGCTTTCATTTGTTGAATTTCAGATGCTTGTTGTCCTAATACAGTAAGTTCATCAGCTGGTGTTTCACCTTCAACATCTTCTGGCCAGTTATTAAAATTTCCAGTAACAATAACTTTATTAATATGATCATCATTTTCTTCTATTTGTGATAGAAGAGTAGGTATCGAATGATGACGAGCTTCTTGAGAGGGAAAATCAAGATGGACATTATAGATAATAAATGGTTGTTTTGTTATTATATGTTGAAATTGAGCACGTGTACAGCCACGAGGATGTCTTGCACCCCAAGCAGAACCAATAGTTGATGGATGTTCATTGAACCAAAATGTTTTTGTTGAAACAAGTGAAAATAAATCATGACGATAGAATATAGCATTGATTGTATGCCAATCTTCAAGTTCTTCACCTACCCATGACCAACATTGTGAAGATCTACGAAAGAAAAGGACATTTTTTGTTTTTGAATGAAATGAATTAAAAAATGATCTACTCATTTAAATCATCAAGAATACCATTAAGTTGTGGCGGATAACCTTCTTGCGTTCCGATTATTATTGGTTGCATGTTTTTGAGACAATTTTTTAGAATTGGTCTTCGTTTTTCCCATTCATTTAATGTGCCATGATCAATATAACCAAAACGTAAATTGAATGTGCAGACTCGTACGACAACTGTACTTATTCCTCGTATGACAGTATTCATTTTTTTTTCTTGAAAACTAGAGTACGTAAATCATTTTATGCTTAGAAATAACCGTAGACTAATAACAGTTTTAGATTGGTCGTCAAAAAGAGGCAATAACAAACTAGTATATGATAGAGGCCATTGGAATCGAATTAGTTACAGAATAGATGCAAAGGCTGTGGAACTACAGGACTTCCATAAGTTGAAGTCAACTCTACATTCAGGCATTGCAGTCTAGAATACACTCAAATATTTGTTTCTTGTTCTATTCGATTGATAGGTTCATATAGTGCATTGAAACTTATACACATGTTAAAAATTTTTGACGGATTCAGCTGCGAATAGGAACATTGGAGTAGTCAATACGACTTAGAAAACGATCTTGAAGAGATATTTTCAATAGAGTGAGCAAATCTCCAATGTAATTCATCTTTCTTTGTTAACATTACTGCTTGATGACTATTCTAACGTTTTAGTCAAATAGATTGAAATAAAATAACAAGAAATGTTGGTTTGTCTGTTCAAGAACATGTCTTCTAACAAAATCTGTGAATGTTTTAGTTGAACTGTATCATTTTGATACAGTACAAAATGTCCGTCAGAAATGAGAAACACTTGCTGTCTTTCATTTGAATGACATAAAAAAATTTCATCTCCTTCTCCTCCCTGCTCTTAACTCTCTGATGGAGATCTTGTAAAAATTGTTGAGCCTACCCTAATATATAAAGACGAATAATTGTTATTAATAGGAAAACTAAAATTACCAAAGCAATGATAATTTCTCTATCAATGAGATTTATTTCTACAAAAATTTATTCACAAAATTTGATTTCATAAAACACTACATATATTTAAAAATATACTAATAAGAAAAACCAACTTATAAAATAGAATATAGATTGCATGGCTGCATAGTGTACATATATTCTCTATTCATCAAGTTTTTTATTGTATATTGTAATTATAAATCAATGATTAGATGAAAACATTTATGCAGTATAAATTAAATCTGCATAAACAGGAAAATGATCAGATGGAAAAAATCCATCTTTATCATGATACTCATCAACTTTTGTTTCACCTTCAACACGATATACACTATTTGATGAAATCCACACAAAATCTATTTT